CGTAGTTTTGCGGATTATATTCTATTGTGTTAAGTTTTAATTCTACGGCTTACGACATTTTTTTCTCAGGGATGCAGTTTCTAGAAATTTCGTGTTTTTTACAATTCATTAGAGAAGATATATTTAAGAAGATTAATTCATCGTCGATGACAAAGCGTATTGAAATAAAAATTCACAGTTAAAAAACTAAAATTATAAAAATGCAATTTGAATCTTTACCAAAACAATTTATGTTACTATTGTAACTTTGTATTCGAAGTCGTAATTTTCTTCAGTACGATGTGTTAAAGTTTGTTTACCTGGCTGAAAAAATATCAGATACCTATAACTTAAAATAACTATTACCTAGTTAAATTCTTTTATCGTGTTTCAGTCGCTAACGAAGATCTTTCGCACATTTAAATCTAAATTAGTGTCAACACATAGATATCAGCATACTTTTATTAACTTTTGAGGTTTAAAAATCCAATTTAGTAACTTTACAGAGGAACCTTTTCTTATTGATATTGATGTTTTTAATTTGTAAAATTGTACCTAATTAACTTAAATCGATAGCAAATAGTCATAAATATAACAAAAACAGTACGTTATTTATGATGTATGACATAATTACGTACATAATTTAATTCCGTGTTGTAAGGTAAACAAATTAGGAAACGACCGCTGCCGGCGATGCGGCAACAGAATAACAAACTGATTAGTTAACATTAAGATAATCATAAGACTCGCAGTTAGCTTGTTTACTTTTTTAGATCAGTTTTAGTGATTCAAAGAATCGTTAATACTTTTTTGATAGGACAAAGCAAAGCAGAGTTACGACTATTGATTTACACAACTGCCAAAACTATGAAGGAGTTTAGAAAAATGCGTTAAAATCTCACATCAAAATACGACAGATAGACAATTATTTCTCAGTCCACTAAATTGCGTTTTTTCAAAAATTTCAAAACTAAACCAGATGGTACTTCGTAAAACGTAATTATTTACGCAAGGAACATAAGCGGACAATCTGTTTTAAAATTGCATGCGCCGACAGCTTCATAATATCCAGAAGCATAGTGCAGAAAAGTTTTCATAAAATTCATTTGACCGTGTCTTTAGCAACTGTCGCTCGTCCCTTCCGGTAGCATTACCGGAAACTGTAAAATAAGACTACTTTTAATGAGGTATTATTAAATTACGATTCTCATATGTTTTTGTTAAAAAATAACCGATGAAAAGATAGCTATAGCAATCCAAAAATGTGATCTATTGTTTAGAGTCCGAACTAAAGTAATTTTTGTACTCAGTTCTATAAAAAACAATATAAACAATAGGTGCATCGAAGATTGTTTTCGGCTGTATGAAACTGGCTATATTATTTTTTTCTAAAAAAACAAAACAATTTTGAATAATCTATAAGTCGCGTGCCGGCTACCTGGCCTATTATAATCTGCATCATAAAGTGACGTTTGCGCAGCGGCCGCCGCTGCAGCTATTGCCCGCCATAAATGCACCCGCATTTAACTTAACTAAGCTACTTTACCGAATTATCCAGAAAGCTAGGTTTTAATCCTTATTTACTAAAGCTAAAGCTACAAGTCTTATTTCTGTATTTCACAAAAATCCCGAAACATTCATTCAAACTGGAGAAATTAAAATCCTTGTAAGTGGTGCGGATAGAGCGGTGAAGGAAATCGATCGTTGTACGTTTTACGGAAAGTCTACATTTACGTGTTCATAGCGTGTAAAAAGAATACGAGATAATTGTTTAATATTAATGAACAGATTTAATAGAAAAATGAAGACCAACTGTTGATTATTACCTGTTTAATCCCTGCTATATAACAAGGACGTAATCCTGCAATCCCGCAATCCCGGACAAATTGCAATCCCGGACTATAAACACTAAAATCCTGTTCACAGATAACTTTATGGCTACCGCCCTAAGCTAAATGCAAAATAAAGCTTGTGTTTTCCGAGAAAATAGTATTTAGTTAAATTCAATTCATTATTTTATTATTAACTGTTGGTTTGATTACTAACAATTACTCGTTACATACACTTTTTGACCGACTTACCAAAAGAAGGAGTACTCAATTCGTCTGTTTTTTTTTTAAGAAGACGTCTACAAAGTTCAGAAAATAAAAATTACGTTAAAATTACTTTTTAATTGCGTTATTTCTTTAATTTATTTATGTAAACCGACTCGTGAAATATTTTACATAACAGTAAAATGTTTAAATCGTCCTAAATGCTTCAATAAGGGATGCCAAAATCGTCGTGCAAACTGTAATACAAGCTGAGCATGTCTCCAGGGATTAAGATAAAAGCAGTTGCTCTGTTTGTTCGTTGGCAAAAACTGACGAACACCCACAGCTAAGTAACGGTAACATAACAATGTGTTATTGTCTTATGCGAAAGTGTTGGACGACATCTAAGTTAGAACTTTAAATCTTTTTAGCAAATATTTGCTTTGCCTATCGTCCGCAGCAAGATCTGCATTTCCCAGGGTTTTTTCAATATCGGTACGTCACATGTGCAAGTGAAAAGGATTATGAAACCTGTAGATAAATACGAAATAAAAATAGATGGACGACTATTTTTTTTAAATAAAATGTTTTTAAGCACAAACATTTTAAAGGATTAATTTAATAAAAGTAATCCTAGCAATACCGTAATTTTCGGCGTTCCAACTAATACGTAATCCTTGCACTCCTCGCCATTAACTAAAGTATTGTTCCCAAATAAAAATACACTTTATTGCTATAACTCCATTGATATTTATTAAAAAAAAATCTAATATTTAAGTTGTAATAATAGTTATATTCAAAGACTAGATAAAACACGTCTAATGTACTTCTACGATATATTTTTAAATCTTCGCAACTACAGAGGTAGTAAATAGAGGGTTCGCAATTAGACAAGCGAGGGTTGGGGCTTCACCCCTGTCAGCCCGCGTTGCATCGCGTTGGGTAAGGATCATTGATTGGATTGGATTATCGATCCAAAGTCGGCAACGCCTCTAGTGATGTGATGATAGTTTTTTGGTGTACAATAAAACTATAAATAAAATTAATTTCTTACGTTTTTATGACAATTAGTTATGATGTATGTATGTTGCTGAGCCCTTCAATGGTGAAATA